ATGAAAAAACAAACAAGGAGGTAAAACGTTCAGTTTGAGCAGAGCCATGAAGATGATAGCACAGCCTGCTATGCATGTAATAAGTAGAAGTTATTGAAGCTGCAAATCCTTTTTGTAAACATATGTTAAAACAGGGATACATGTTCAACGAGTCATTGCAATGAGGGCAGCTATATATTCTTTTGTAGAATAGCAAGCTTGCTTTGTCAAGAAGTCTCAAATATTTTTTAAACTTTTGGTGGTTCATGATTTTTACAAATATTGGTAGTATATTGTAGATGTTTACATTGAGAGAGTTTTTACTGGAATTCTGCAGCCTCTACTTGGTCTGATAAATTGGCGGCCTCTAGTGGGATAACTGTGGAAATCCGAGTTTATTTCATGGTTTTCTTTATTTTTGTGAATTTCTTGTAGAAGTTGATATGGATGGTAATGTCATGATTTTAGGAGATGCACAGTGGTCTACAGGTGTTGGTGTAACTGGTACCAGCTATTATTCTTATTGGCTTTTTTTGAAGGAGAAAAACTTAATCAGCCCTTGATGTATTCATTAAAAAAAATTGAGGAAAAATGAACAGCATCAACATATAGAGTACAAGTTGTCATTTGACGTATGCAATATGAGGACTTTTTCAAAAGCTGTTCATCACTCATTGCCTGTACAATAGAAGACGTATCGTCACCAAAAAGGGTTAGAAAATAATTGTCAAGGATTATATCTAATTCATTTATGAGTGTTGGGCCAATAATACTCCCTTGAGGTACTCCACAAGTAACGTCTAGCTAGGTAATCTGATGGATAAACAGTTCCATTTCCTACTATTTGCACTGGCAGGAATTTGCTGCATTTTATTGTGGGAGAAGTGATTATTTCGTGTTTTTACATGACATTGATTTTTTTTAGGGTAGACTTGAGGTTTTTCAAGAAACAAACTGAGAAAAATTGAAACAGCCAAAAACTGAATTACTTCAACAGACAACTTACCTAGCTCAACTTTCACTTTACACTCAATCTGATTTAGCTCTCGAAAGCTACATTGAAAACTCTTATGGTTGGCCAAATCCGCTTCGCTATCAAAAGTCTCTTTACAGTTGTTACAAACATTGATGTTGCTAGGTTCGTCTTCGTCTACTTCAGGTTTGATTTCTACAATTAGACTGTCAACGATATCACTTTTAATTCGTTCAGTTTTACACTCAACTGTGTGTGTCGGCACAAGACTGGAAAAACTTGAGACACTTTCAGTTTTCGTCACAATTTCATCAGCTACAGGTGGATATATTATGGAAGATACACTTTCCACTTCGTACTTTAATTCTTTCTTGAATCCTACAAAATATAAATCTGTGGAAGTAGTCTTGATGACTCTTGTGGTACAAGCTCCACACAGAAGGTAGAGAAGTAGTGAATGACGACTCTCGCCCTAAATGCTCCAGCACATCAACGACCGATGAAAATGTTGAGAAAGAGATGAAAATTGTTATGAAGAGTCGTCGAATTATGATAACCGGGCCAATTACAAGATACCAGTTACAAGATGCGTGTATACTATGACTATACTGCATTGGAATGCATTTTGAACATACCTTCTCTTGAGGCTCGCAGAAAACAGAGATTTAATACTTCTATTCAAAATTATCAACGGACTGAGTATCAGTCCCGAGATTCTATCCAAAATATCTTTACATGTCCCCAATCGTTCAACTAGACAGGTGCAAACGTTTTACGTTTCTTAATTGATGGTTGCATTATGTTTACTAAACGATTTTCTATCATGTCTAAAGTCTCTCGACCAAAACATCCAATTTACAATGGAACAAAAGCCCAAAGGCCTCAGAATGTACAGGAAATCAACACACACAAACAGGTATTTGAACAAAAACTCTAACCATCAGCCATAGCAAAAGAGAGGGGTAATTAAAACGTTGGTTGAGAGAGCGCGACGTAAATGTGAATCTGAGAGTCTTCCCGAGTAACTCAATCACCTAAAAATTCCCTTCAAATGGAACGGACACAGCGAAGGAGAATTCGAACGGGCAATATGACCCAGGAGAGAGAACGCCAAAGTAACTTTAGCTAGGCTAGTTTGAAATATGTGTTTCCGTTAACCAGCTGTCGCACCCCTACGAACGACAACCCTTAGAATTCGAAACTTGTGCGAGCTAAGGATTAACGAGGTCTTATCTTTCAACGTGTGATTCCTAACACAGTGTCGTAAATATGTTTCAATTGAGTCTTCAGCAGGCCATAATGAACCCCTCAGTTTTCGACTTCAGCTCACATGATCTGAATTGAATAAAATAAATGAAATACCTACATTTACTTATGATTTATGAACATGTTCTAAATCCGAGATAGAAGTTTGATCACCTTGTTCAGTGTCTAAAAATGAATCAATATCATCAACTGCTCGGCCAGCTGTCGTAAAGACAAATGCTCTAATTCCTGCTCTCTCATGCAGAGAAGCAAACTTCTAATTACTTTACAGGCCTTATAATACCATTCTGTCATGTAGACACTCGAAAATTCACGGTCTTTCTGTTGTTGAGGGGGTACAATCGTGAAGCGGACGATTTGATGCAGCTCCTCCTCGTTGAGATTACCTCTTGTGAATGGCGTTGTTCCATTCCGAGGTAAGTATACGTCTCTCCGGTATTCAGATGGTGCAAGATGTTTTTACCAACGATTAATAGATAATCGACAGTTTGAACTGTGACACTTCAAGTCTCATAGTACTTTGAATGTTGAGGCCGCAAGATCTAATGGAATAAATGATATCATTCATTACACTACGTTCTCAATAACTTCGATGTCTCCTTTTCGTGAAAGCGGTTAATCAAAGCATGTAGGTAAGTGTCGACGGCCAGAGGTAACTGTCAAAAACCTATATCTTTGAAAATTCTCACAACATGCAAGCCACTTTTCATAACTACTACCAGATTAGTTCACTCTACTTCTTCTTTTTCTTCTTCTCCTATTTCATAAAATACGTGGCTGTGAGAATAATCTCAACAGATTTGTCTGCGACTGCTGTAGACATTATCGAAAGCGACGAGACCTCTAGTTGTCCTCACTACTAGGTAGTGAGGAGTGATAATTGCGCTGTGAGGCCTTTGAAAATATCCGTCGCAGTTGTCGAGGATACGTCAGGCATACAAACCTCAGAGGCACGGCCAGCATATCTGGAAAATAACTTCAACACGGTAGTGCTTTTTCCACATACCGGAACTTGACTCTTTCGAAGAGTTACATTAACCTAGTTGGCATTATCAGATGATGGATTTTTTTTAAAGTGTCAATTTATTCAAAAATTATTTTATCCTTAGAATTTTTTGTTGTGCGAATTCTGATATTCATTTTCTTACTGTAAACAAATCGTCGAAAATCCTAGCTACGCAACAAATCGCCTATTGAAAATACAAGTGTAATACCTAATCGAAAATGGAAACAGCATTGAAAACGTCGAACCCAACAAATATTCAAGGAATGTCAATGTGCATATTTCCGGTGGCATTTGAAGCTGATTCACTTGAATATATTACCAAGAATTATTGAAACTATGAAGTGGTGCAGTTAAAAATATGTGAATTATGACTGTGAAAATACGAGGTCTATTAAAAAAGAAAGGTGAATTGTCATTTTGCGCGAAAAATATTTATCTATTCGTCAATTTCTATTTTGTCCTCTTCAAAGTCATTCCACTCAGATGCAAGACACTCGTGTCAGCGTTTTTCCAATCCTCGAAGCAGTTTTGGTAAGAACTTTTTTTGGTATGTGCTCAATCGTTGCAAAACGCTATCCTTACATGGGTCTATTCAATCTTGGGAACAGAAGAAAGTCGCAAGAGATCAAATCTGGTGAATACGGTGGATGAGGCATGATTACGGTGTTGTTTATGATAAAAAATACGAACAAGTAATGACAAGTGGGCAGGTGCATTCCCACAAGTTTTCTTTGTATTCAAGATAGTACTCCTTATTGACCACACATCAGTGGGCGGAACCTTGACATTTTATCGAACTTGGCGTGTTTTTTTTATCTTGGCTCTCCTGGGCTCTTCCATTGGGATGACTGAACTTTGGTTTTAAGTAAATCTTATTCGCCGGTGACATCATTCAATAATTCATGACCGATGCTAATCTGACGATTTTTTTAGTCAAATTTCAGCAATTTTGAAACTAACTCCGATGCCACACTCCTCATGCACAAAATTTACGGAAAAATTGCATTGCATGAGCTAACCGATATACCGACATCCTCAGCAACTTCTCTAATAGAGAAGAAATCGTGCAGATTGGGGTGTTACTACAAAATCATGCTCGCAAACCAATAGCCTGCCAATAGAACTACGTAGACCTGAAGAAATCGATGACTATTTTTCAAACGTGGCTGGATATTCAATAGTAAATAATAACACTTTTTCATTCTACAAAAATAATGAATTGAACGCTCCTTTGAACTTTTCCCTCACCGATATATGTGATGATGATATTTTGACTGCTATGAAAGAAATAAAATCTAATGCTTTAGGTATTGACAATATAAATATCAAGATGAT